CACATAGATGTTGTAAAGTACCTCATCAACGAGTATTACTGTGCTTTAATGGCCACTAATAAATATGGGCAAACACCTCTTCATGATGCTGCCAGGTTGGGTACACCTGAAGTTGTTGAATACTTATTATCAACTGGTAATTGTGATCCTTTGGCTAAAGACAATATGGGGAGGACACCATTACAACTAGCTAAAAGGAGAGTTCGGTATGATAGAAATACTGTCATTGATATCTTCAAGAAGTTTGGTGACATTAAAATATCTCATCCAATTGATTCTTATGTTAACGTTCTTGTTGTGGGTAATCCTGGAGCTGGTAAAAGTACTCTTAGTCATGTCATCAATGACACAGCTACTGGTTCCATTGCTCTTGGTTCTTTTAGAAATGTTGGAGGGGTAGTGCCCTGTACTGCTGGCATCATTCCTTATAAACTACAACACAGGACACTGGGTAACATCATTCTTCATGATTTTGCTGGTCATTTGGAATACTACTCCAGTCACAGTGCTGTCATTGAGAATCTGTTACAAGGTTCTGGTGGCGTGTTCCTGATAGTGGTCAATATATTGGAGAAGGAAGCAGTCAAACAGCTTCATCAGTGGCTAACAGTTGTGAGAAATGAAGAACAGAAAGCTCTTAATCAATGCCATGTTATTGTAATAGTCAGTCATGTGGATGAGATAAGTAATCCTGTTGAAAGGAGGAGAAAGGAAGAAATGCAGGAGATTATTGTAAGGGAAAAGTGCAATAGGGTCTTCTTAGATTGTCGTAAGCTTGGTGGGAAAGTAGATTCCTTCTTTAATAAGTTGTCTAGTGCCTGTGAGCCCATTCGTAGTACGAAAAGGAATAAATCCAGTCTTTATGATCATGAAATGTACCGACTACTGGAGGAAAGGAAAGAGAATGTACTGACCCTCTCTGATGTAATGTCTGCTGGTAAGGACAATAATGATTACGTTATACCAGATAAGAGAGAAGACATCTTGGATGCTCTTCATTCATTGCACTCAATTGGTTTGATCAGTGTTCTTAAAAGTGAAGACAAGGTATGGGTTGTTGTGAATAAGGGTATACTACTAACTGAGGTGAATGGGATTCTCTTTGCTCCAGAGACATTCACAGAACACGTTGACATTGCTAGCAATACTGGTATTGTTAGTGTGTCTGGTCTGACTAGACTCTTCCCTAAATATGATCCTGACATGTTGATCTGTTTCCTCAAAAATATGGAACTCTGTCAAGAAATGAATCCATCTTTCATAAAAATGACAAACCTTCGTAGGAGAGAAAGAACAGGAGAAAGGTTGTTGTTCTTTCCATGTCTTTTGTCTACTGATAGACCTGATGAAATGACTCGTCAAATGTACCAGTTTGGTTGGTGTCTACAGTGTACTAAACAACATGATTTCTTTCCTCCTCGATACTTCCACGTCCTAACATTACATCTTGCTTTTAAGTTTTCATTATCAAAAGGGAGCAAGGAATTAGCCGAAGGATTTAAACGTAAATGTACATTTTGGAGAAATGGTCTTCACTGGTTTAATAGTCATGGTGTAGGATCACTGGTAGAGATTGTAGATGAGAGCCAGTGTGTACTATTAATGATGTCCTGTGAGAAAGGTTACAGTGACAATATGGTGTCTTTAAAAAGAGATGTGATAGGAGAGGTAATGAGTGTTTATAAAGAATGCTGTCCCAGTCTAGAGGTAAAAGAGTTAGTTATTGATCCTAAAGAACTAGCCTATCCTATGAATACACCAAGAGAAAGGACAGCGTATAGTATAAAAGCTGTGATGTCTGCTATTGTCAAGAGAGAAGAGTTTTTAGTAAATGCTACTGGTACTAGACGTACAGGATTGAAGGAGATCGTAGCTGATGAATCATTATCAGATATTAGTAACCTGTCACTATTAGGAGGACGTGATATCCAGGTAAAAATTAACACACAAACTGTTTGATACATTAATACAAACACTAATAATCAAAAGGTTATTATTATCTTTATTTCTTATCAATAATTACTCAGTCTTTGTCATAATTTTGGGTTGTCATTGTGTAGCTTTACTACTAATAATATATACTTGTACATCTGTTAAATTCACCTTTCAGCAATACACTGATAAACAAGCTTGATTATTATTATTATTACTATTATTATTATTATTATTGTATAGGAAGTGATTGAAATAACTGAAGAATTCAAGACACCATTGACTCCAATAAAGCTAGGTATGTTATAATATGTACTATCACAATTGTCAAGTAGTGGGAGTGTAGACTGTACGTAACTTTTATGGTTGTGGGTATTAATTTTCATTAATTTTGCGGTGTCAGTTTAATCCATTAACCCCTAAACATCTACATGTAGAAAATTAATTTACAGCCCATGTAGAGCTCTAACTACTATTACCTAGCCATGCAGTGGAAGAGCCAGTGTCTCTGTCTATTACTCCATATTCCACTATAAGCCATGTATTGGAAGCTATCACTGTAGATTCAAGTGAAAAGCAGTTTAATAAAACTGCCAGCCACAAATACTTGTACCCACAAATATTTATATAAATATTAGCTTCTAAGGAAATTTTGGGGAAAAAATATTGGACCCTCAAAAATTACCAACCGTATTGGTAGTAAGTGAGGGTATACTGCATGGTTTAATAATGGATTTAATTATGGTTTAATTATCACTTGTGTGTATACATGTAGGTACAGATACAGAAGCTGATGAGATTGATACAGAAAGTAAGAAATATTAAGCTTCTTTTAGTCTGCTAGTAACAATTATTTGGCCAATCTATGTTTAACAAACTAAAATTAACTGTGCCTGGAATTAATACTAATAATTAATATTAATTAATTAATTAATAAAAATAAATGATGTCATAAAATTGATTTTTAGGAATAGAATATTGGCTTGTCGAAGGTGAAGTTGAGCTGAAAGTCACTCGTATCAATATGCATGGTGCCCCTGGAGCTGGTAAAACGTGTTCACAGCACCTCCTACTTAATGAGCCACCACCTGAGAAACTCACTGATAGTACACCAATAGCTTGTCCTGCTATTCAGGCAACAAGAATATCCATTGATGATAAAAATAAGAAGTGGGAGAGAGTTGAAATTGAAGATTTACTTAATCAGCTTGCATCTCATTTAGAGGAAACACAAAATGAAAAAATGAAGCATGAACAAACCTCTACAAAAATGGATGATGCACCATTGCTTAAAAATGATTTTCCCAATCGTTCAGATAAGAACCAACTGAAAAAATTGGAACAACCAACCAAGAAGAAATCAACTGAAAATGAAGCACCTGAGAATAAACCAACAGAAAATGAACAACCTACTGAGGATGAGCAACTCGAAAATAACTTAACTGAGAAAGAAGTGATCAAGAATGAACCAACCAGAAATGAATTAATCAAGAAGAAACTGGCCAAAGTAATTTTAAAAATTGGAAATGCTCATGCAAATGGAAACTTGAATGAATTCAGGACAAATTGGGTGTATTTTATTGATTCCGGTGGTCAACCAGCATATCGAGAGTTACTACCTCTTTTTACAAGAGCAGCTGCACTGAATATCATCACCATTGATCTCACCAAAGGTCTTGATGAGAAGTGTGAGTTTCAATATCGTATTAGTCAACATACGTCTCTTATTCATACAGATCTGAAATTTTCTAATCATGATATAATCCAATCAACAATTAGCTCCGAAGCTATGTTGAATTCTGTCAAATTTCCTTATGTCTCTGACATGCCCAAGCACTCTCATTATCTTATACTTGGTACACGTAAAGAGTTGGTAACTGAAGCAAAGCTAAACGAAATGAATGATAGCCTGATAAATAGCTCCAATCTAGACCTTAAAAATGTCATTTGGAATACAAAAGGCTCGATTATATTTCCAGTTAATACGTTGCTCCCTACTGGGTCTAAAGAAAGAGAAGATGCTAGCATAAAAGTTTGTACTGCAATTTTGAATTGCAGGGTTGAAATGAAAATTAAGTTACCAATTCGATTGTTTACTTTTGAAATTGCACTACAAATGGAAGCTAAGGAGAAGGAACGAAGTTTCCTTACAACAGAAGAAGTAATTGAGATTGGTAAGTCTTGTCGACTTTATGATAAATCAGATATTGATAAAGCTCTGCGATATTTACACAACGTCACTATCATTCTTTATTATCATGATGTCCTACCAAATATTATAGTTGTCGATCCTAAACCAATCCTTGATGTCCTGTCTTGTCTAATAGCTATCACATATGTTGACCATACTGATCTACATTTGGTTGCAGACCCACCTCCTTCACCTGATGAAAAAAATAATCTCAAAAAATTTGGCCTTTTTAAAGAAGAAATTTTTAAAAATATTGGTAAGCAGATTTTTATACATGATAGTTTTAAATCATCTCACATGATCACTCTTCTATTGCATCTCCACATCATTGCCAAAGTTGAAAACAGAGAAGAAGGAGATTATTTTTTTCCATGTGCATTACCATCTTATGACAAGCTCAATCCTGCCCCAACAGAAATACAACCACTTCTCATAGCATGGGAGATTAAAAATAGTGGAACAACTAATCTAGCCATCCCTCAAGGATTATTTCCTTTAACCATTGTACACCTTTTAGAACAGAAGGATATTGTAGACTTCAGTCCAGTAGGCAAGGAATATTACAAATATCATGATGCCATGTCACTTCGTGTTTACAATGATCACTTTATACACATCATCAATCGTTATACACATATCGAAATACATTTTCGTAGTGACTGCAAGAACTCTTGTCTTAAAATTCGGGAATTAGTCACAGACGCTATCAAAAAAAGCAGAAAAGATCTTAATGTTGATACTGATCATATTTTTGCATTCAAATGCCCCCAAAAAGATTGTTACTTCATTGTCCAGAAAAATGAATCTTCTTCCTGGTATTCTCATTGCACTCATTGTGAAACACAATGTAAAGTACTGGAGAGTGATGATAGCTATAGATGCTGGTTTTTTAGTGATTCTTCTAGTCTAGGTTAGTAATATACATATTAAAAAGAATAATCAAAAATGGTGCCATTGTGTTATTTATTATAATGTTCTTATTATTCCCACATTTACAGTAGAATATCTTTATTTCTTAGGAGCTGAGCCATCACCATCATTAGAAGGTCCACCTAGTAAGATTAAATCTACTGAATTATTAGGTAAAATAAATTAAAATAACATGCTTTAGTTTACATGATAATCCATTTTTTCCATAGATACCAGTAATCTTATTGATGTACTTGATGCACTGGATGATCATAAATATTCTGGTGTTGATTATTATGATCTTGGCCTTCGTCTAGGACTGCACCCTTGCACACTTAATGTTATTAAAGAAGATAACAAAGGAGATGTTCGTAGCTGTCTAAGAGAATGTTTGGCAGCATGGTTGGAACAAAAAGATAGTGTAATGAGAAGAGGCAGTCCAACTTATGATACATTAATACAAGCATTGAGGAAGATGGGAGAGAATGCTGTAGCTGATGGGATTAAAAGAGATACCTAATAGTAAGGAATGAGTGTATTACATATCATGTTATTTGATTGTTTCTATCTCACTTTTATAATGCATATTAATGCACTTCTGTACAGAAAGTTTGAGCTGATTCCGACGATAAATTTTCGAGTTATGACCATTTTAAAAATGAGACAATTTTTGAAAAGTACCATGGTTTTTTTCCAAAAATGGCTCCAAAATCACCCCCAATTTTTATTACATTTTCTGATGCATATTAATGTACTAATGTTATGTAAAAAGTTTGAGCTGATTCCGACAAAAAATTTCCAAGTTATGACCATTTTAAGAATTCAAGACACCATTGACTAAAATGTACTATCACAATTGTCAAGTAGTGGGAGTGTAGACTATGTATAGTGTGTACTCCATCTTCCTCCTCTCCTTTCTCCTATTGTCATCTCACTATCTCTTCTTTTTCTATCACAGATTAGTTCAAATTATAGTGGGACTCTCCCCTGGTCAGGGGTTGGGTCTCAGTATCGTTGGTGGGCGTGGCTCTCCCACTGGGGACGTACCCATTTACGTAAAGAGGATCCTACCTGAGTCAGTGTTACAGAAAGACTCAAAGATATATAAAGACTGGAGATGAACTGGTAGCAGTTAATGATTTAATAATACATAATGTAACTAAGGACTATGCTACTGAAGCTCTTACTAATGTACAGGGAACAGTGAGACTACTACTGATACAGGACCTATGAATGAGGATGATATCTGGAGACTGTATTGAATGAATGAATCTATTGATTGGTTTGTCTTTATCTCTTCTTTAGTTCTTAATCTCTTGTTTTTTTTTCAACAGTGTATACATGTATATATAGTTGTCGATCTGTCATCTATGACTGTTATTTTTGTTTTACTAAAAATGTGAACTTCCCCAAAAGTAATGTGATTCATTGGCATCATTGCATTGTTAACCTGACTACCTGAGGGCGTGTCTGGTTACTGGTGGTTAGATCGACTGTTACTGTTTTTGAGCTTGTTGGCCCTTAGTCTCGGCCCTGGGCCGAGACTACTTGGTCATATCACTGTTTAACTCCAGTGTTCCTTGACAACTCTTTAAAAGTCTTTCTACACTTAGTCAAGATGTCAGAAAGTGAGTTCTCTATTATTTAAACCAGGGGCATCTCTATCATCAGAAAGTGCTAGACTAGGTAGCCTTTGTGGGTGCATAAGTGTAGGCTACTCCGCGGGCTACTCTAGCATAATGGGTGCATGACAGATTGGCTAAGCCTCAGTTAGTAGGTGCTGCATCTTGTTTGTGGGTGTCTAATGACACCACCTTGATTGCTTGGGTACATAGTGTAAATAATATGAAAGACATTAGGCCATTCATAATTTCTCCATTTATGCATGGGTGAGGCTGATGTTGATGCCCAAGCAGCTTTGTTATTATTCATTAAAATTTTTAAATTATTGCATTATTATTGATGTGTAAAGTGTATTTCCTGCTTGTCTTTTATATGAGTGTTATTTTTGATTATATCTACTATTATTATATTATACTATTTTACTATAAAATTAATTTAAACCTAGTCACCCTCCCACTTGTCAGTTTGTGTTGCTAGCACAATAAAGCACCTGCATGACTCTCAGCCTGCCCGGCTGCCTACCTAGTCTCATGTAGCCAGACCCATCCCTATGGGCCTGCCTACATGAGACTAGCCAGTAGATAGTAGCACAGCTGCTCCTTAAAATCCAAGCTTCACACATGCAAAGAAATTGTACAAGATTTCCTGTAGTTCTTCAAAGCCACCAATTGTGTACAAGATTTCTAAAGTGGATCTGTCTACTTAAAAAATATTTGCTGTGCTCCATCAGTTAAAACTATAATTATAGTTATTGTACATTGCACTATATAAGCATAATAGGTAGCATAGTAAGCAACCATCAAATAAATCTGCCATTTTGGTACAGTGACAAGTGGCATCATGTATAAAAACCACCAAATTACAAAATTTTAACAATCAATATTTTTGGCTTTATAGTATTATTGTGTCATTTATTTGATATAATATATAGATATTGATGTACTTAAGATCAATGATGAAGTACAAGAAACACTCACTGATAAACTGCTTGGTAAGACTAAGAGAGTATATAGTGTTATTATTATTATTATACACTCATGCAGATATTAGAGATCTTGCTACAGTCCTTCAAGAATTAACATCAAATCAACAGTTTGATTATGCTAACAACTGGAAACAGTTAGGCCTGTACTTAGGATTATACCAACCTACACTAAAAGCAATTGAAATAAACTGCAGAGGACAAGTGAAGGATTGTCTAATGGAGTGTCTATCTTCCTGGCTAAAGGGAGAGGATGGAGTAAGAGACACAAGAGGAGGTGGATCAAACTGGATATCATTAGTAGCAGCACTAGATGCAATGGGAGAGAGGGAGGTTGCTAATAACATTAGAATGAAGTATGATTTGTCAGGTTAGTAGATGACTGTATAGAGTATTGTATAGCTGGTTTTTTTAACTGGGCCAAACTTGTTTTTTTGTGGAAAATACAATTTTGTGCATTTTATATTTTATCTACTCTATTGCCTATAGAGATAGATAGGTACAGTATATGTGCTCAAATGTTTTATCTTTAGAGCTTGGAGAATGGAAAGAATGAAAGTTTGCCCATAGGAAAAATGTCTACATGTACATTTCTACATGTAAAATGTCTACTGTTATTTGTGAGTACTATTTTTGTGATCCTAATCTGCTTTTAAGCTCTTCACCACCTTTTGATATACTGTATATCTGGAAATTTTCGTCTGTATTTAATTTTCGGATGCATGGCTTTGTGCGAAATTAAAATTCATAAAAATTAATTTATTCATGCGTAAGTTTTGCATGCAGATACCACGTGCATTGTCAAGACACATGGCACTATCATCACAAAATGGTGCTGCTTTGTTTCTTCCAATTAAAGTATCTCTCCTAGTCTCCTACAGCAGTTGGCAGACAGTCTAATATGCATGGTAGCTTCTCAAGCAGAGACGCTCTGTGGGATCCTTTATAAGATCTTTAAAATTTCGTATGTTGTTAATTTTCGGACAGAAACCACTGTGCAAAAATAAAAATACATGAATTTTTTCTGTCTGAAAATTTTCTCCTATGAAAATTACCAGATATACGGTAATATATTTTTGATAATAGCTTTGTGTTAATGCATTTGTTTGCCCAACAATTATAAGTGAATAATAAAGTAGTTGATTGTACCAAATCTCTTGAGTTTACTGAGGTACATACATGTACCAAATATGCCATATACATGAAGTATCATTGAGTAGCTGCTAAGTTTATAAAGTATAGTTGATAACAGTGTAAGTGAAAGTGCATGCAGTGTTTTATGTTAGCTAATACTTTATTTATAGCATACATGTATTTCATCGATAATAAATTTGGCTAATTTTGTGTCTGGCTATTATTCTTGAAATTAAATTCCATCAGAATTTGTATCCCACACCTTAATTGTTCAATGAATAATTAGTCATTGTTTTATCTGCAAATGCCTGGCAGGAATAATTTTGCAAAATTTTATATTTTATGCAGTACCCCATTCACACTATAAAATAAAAAGGTCCAGTCCATAGCAATTTACTGGCATTTTTCATTGAATTTGAACAATGCCGTTACTGCATTGTCTGGAAAACTGAATCTTCTCCCTGGTATTCTCATTGCACTCATTGTGAAACCCAATGTAAAGTACTAGAGAGTGATGGTACCAGTCTAGGTTGGTAATACACATATTAAAAAGAATAATCAAGCTATGTGGTGCCATTGTGTTATTTATTATTGTTATTATTATTCCCATATAAACGGTAAAATTATCTTTAATTTTTAGGAACTGAGCCATCATCAGAAGGTCCACCTACTAAGATTAAATCTACTGAATTATTATTAAGTACAATTAATTAAAATAACATACATGTTAATCCATTTCTCTTTAGATACCAGTCATCTTGTGAAGATACGTGATTTGCTAAAGAAGCAGGGATATTCTGGTGTTGATTATTATTACCTTGGTCTTCGTCTGGGACTGCTCCCTCGTACACTTGATGTTATTGCGGAAGAAAACAAAGGAAATGTTCGTAGGGGTCTAAGAGAATGTTTGAAGGCATGGTTGGAACAAAAAGATAATGTAGATAGTGTTGGTGGCCCAACTTATGATACATTAATACAAGCATTGAGGGATGAGGAAGAGAATGCTGTAGCTGATGGGATTGAAAGAGATTTAAGAGGTAAGGCTTTTATATATTATCTACCAAAATGGTGGCTTACACATTAGAAAAGTTTTGATACTGTCTCTATGCACCATTATTAGTAACTATTGGGTTTGGATGTGTTTGTCTTGAATTACTATACTAGATACTGTTGTATAAACTGTTCCCATGTACTCTCAGGCTTACTCATACACACCCACAATAAGAATACAGCCCTTTGTACAGTTTTTCTTGCAAAAGTTTATACATGTATAATGTTGAATTCAAATAAACTTTGCAACTTGTAAGCTAAGCTAATACATGGTATTATTTTATATTTTAATATACCATAGCCATTGCAATGCCCAACCTTATTCTGACATTATAACTATACTACTGTTATCATAGTCACTCCCTCAGTAGCTACACACAGCCCACCACTGATAATCTTGGCTTAATAAAGTTACATATTTTTTACTTTCATTATTGCAGGACATATTGTACCACCTACTGCTAACCCTATTAGTACTGAAGACACTCCAGCTGCTGACAGGATACCAGACACTCAAAATCCAGTCACAGAAAGTATGTATTATAATGGTGTAATTCAAGAACAATATTTGGGGGCCCAGGAGGCGGCCTTCCAATAACATTCTTAACAAATGCTTTTTGATATTAAAATACTTCCTTATATAAAAAATGCATGTAACATTTGTGGGGTTCCCCGTTCCAATGCATATTTCATTCCTATACCTATGCTGTGATATCATGTATAAAAAGATTGTACAGGGGGATTTAAAGCTTGTTCACAAAACCACAAACTTTTCTAGCCGCGTACAGTAATAGTAATTATTACACACAGCTGTATAACATATAAGGCCATAATAAGATAACAAACATTGATCTTGTTCACACTAGCAGCTGAATTATGTATCATTTTGTGTTCTTTTTGCCATTGGTTTACATTGATCGAAGCGCATCACTTCACATCAATCCACCTCAGATGAAATGCTAATCGATTGATGCCCATTAATTGCCCTAGTGTGCATGAACACTATATGCACATTAATGATTATAGTTTGATGCATGGTGCTACTTTATTTAGGTAAAATAGAAGAATGGCTGAAAGAAGGTGAAGTTGAGCTAGAAATCACTCGTATCAATATGCATGGTGCACCTGGAGCTGGTAAAACATGCACACAACACCTCCTACTTAATGAACTACCACCTGCACCTCCTGATGAACTCACTGATAGTACACCAATAGCTTGTCCTGCTGTTAAAGCAACACGAATATCTGTTGATGATAAAAATAAGAAGTGGGAGAGGGTTAAAGAAGAAGATTTACTTAACCAGCTTGCATCTCGTTTAAATGAAGCACCAAATGAAACACAGCATATAAGAATATTAAGAGAAGCACCAATACCTACAAATGCTGCACCTGTTCGTTTAGATGATTCTTCACTGAAAGCAGAACCGCCTGAAAAGAAACCACTT